GGAAAATACAGTAGAGACAGAAACTGTTGAAGAGCTTTATGCTATGGAGCATCTGGTTGATTCTTATACAGTGTCAATGATTTGTAAAAGCTGATTCCTTTTCTCCGTTTTCATTTCATAAAGCCAGTTCTTAACACAATGCAGTAACATTATACAAAGAATTGCAATGTGGATACAGAGGGTTATCTTTATCAGCATGTGAAATACTAAACAATTATAGCTATGCTTGTTGATACACTTGTGCCTTTTAAAAACATGCAATAGAAAGAGAAACCGCCAACAACTTTATGCAAAGGACCTTCTGATTGATTTTTGTAGTGTTACAAAGATTTGCTTATGCCGATTCTGTTTTCCCTTTCATAATGCCAGTTATCACGGGCTCCACAAAGGCGCAACAGAAATCAGAACACACTGCATTCTCAAAAGAATTGAAATGGGGATGCAGAGAGTACCGTCGTTAGTTGACTTATGTGTTCAGGTGGCCATAGATAATGTTAGGTACCTGGGAGATGTTGGAGAAACAGATTTTCATCTTTTAGAGCGCATTTTACCCCACTGTACGCTTGATCAATTGATGCACATCGAGAATTGTACTGAAGTAAGACATTTTGTATTTGTCTTTCTATTTTGAAATATAAAATCTTGGTTCACAATTGAATATTATGTTAAATAATGAATATCTTTCTTTGTTACTGCAGGGCACAGATCTTAGCCTGGTCACAGATAAACTATGGAAAAGATTTTACGAGCGCCAATTTGGTGCTCATAACACCAATGTTGTGATTGAGAGGATGAGAAAGAATAAAGTAACATTTAAATGGAAACAATTGTACGAGGTGATTCTCCTCTTTCCTTTTTTTTTCCCTATCTGTATCAGTGACGTTCCCCTATTTGGTGTTATATCTTAAATGAATGTTGCTAAACTGCAGGCAAAGTCAAAAGATGTGGAAGAGGCACAACAAAAATCAATTGACCGATTAAGGCAGCTATATCAAAAAGAAGATGCTAGTAAGTATATATCTTACTTGTTATGGACATTGACTGACAAGTTGCAGGTGTCTTCATTTGACTGCAAGATTATTTAATGTAACTTGGCAATTATCATTCTGTGTAAAGGGTGTGAGTTTCTGGTGTTATATTTGAAGAGTGATGTGTTTTCTCTTTGCCTCAAGTAATACTGAAATGTCCTGCTGGAGTGCGTTAAGGCATGCACAAGTGTTTCCTCTTTAAAATCCCTTTTTATGAGTAATTTGAGAGTGAATTTCAATTTAGTGTAGTCTTATAGAGGTTGCATTAAAACTAAAATTGCTTAATCACAACTCAATCTCAACAAAATCCGTATTATCAAGGTCTGCTGTATGTATTCTTTCTTTCCGAGGTCTAGGATCTTTTGTCCTTGATTGCACATAGAATAGGATTTTCTTTTACCTCATTACCCATTATTTTCCTGCTTCCTGTTCCAGTAGGCACACAGATTGTTAATGTTTATTATATTGCTTTGCCCGTTAAATGTATATAGGGTGTTCTTTAACTGGGTACCTATGTAACAGTGTTTAAAAGGGCTTAATCGGGTACATATGTGAGGCAAGGCCAGTGTTTTTAAAACCGGACCGAACCTGCGGGTTGAACCGGGAAACCCGTGAACAGTTCAAAATTTCGGTTCAGTTCATTTCCAAAACCCACTTTCTTGAAACTGGATAAAAAAACCGGTCAATTGAACAACTTAATCGTTAACGCGGAAACCCGGTGCCGGGTTTTAACCGGCTTTGGCGGTTTGTATTTATATGTATAAAAGTTGAAGTTTTCACACTTCAGCCTATTATAATTGAAAGAGGCCCAAACACTAGCCCTATCAGGTAATGACCCACTCTTTTTGGCATTTGATGTGGGATAAATATTTATAGGATGACTTTTCAGTGGATTTTTGCTAGGATTTCAATGTGGGACAAGTAAGTTTGCCTTTGGTGGCTGTAGAAAAATCTCATTCTAATATTTTTTTTTTTAACTTTGCTCTTCTCTAATTAATAATTAGTAAATACAAATCGTATCCCTCATGATTTTTTATTATTTATTTTATTGAGTAATTTATTATTTTTTCAATCTTATTTTAATTAATAAAATTACAAAGCTTTTCAGATATTTTAATTAACAATATTATGAAAATACATTTATTTATCTTCTTTTTTTTTAGGTTTCAGTTCCACCGCGGTTCAACCCCGGTTACCCTTGACCCCTTCACCTTTCCGGGTCAATGTCCGGTCCGGGTTTCAAAACATTGGGCAAGGCATAAGCTTTGAGGCGTAAGACTCCAGGCCAACTAAAATGTAATCCAAAAGAATATAAAATACAAAATATGCTCTTAATAAACTATAAATCGTCTTAAAAAAATTAAATTGAATTCAAAAAACTTAGCTCTATAATTGATCAAGAAAATAGAAAATAATAAGTTCTCAAATTAGAAATCACGTAAAAAAAATTATTATTTATTACTACATCACTACTAAATGATCTTTAAGGGAATCACAACGCCCTCCTCGTCACTATAAGTTTCTTCTCATTCTTTGTCATTATCTTCCACTTGCAAAGGCCAGTTTTTAAATGTCCAGAAAATACAAGATAAACGGGGGTTCTCCTTGAGGCGTAAGCCTCACAGTGGCAATAAAGATGCGAGATTTCTTCTTGTATAGACGGGTTGCTTAATTTTAAGTTATTCCTTTCTTGTATTAATTGATAACACACTGTCCATATATTATCC